CCTTAAAAATTGAAAAAAATTCCCTCGTTCCCCGCAAATGGGGGAAATATCCAAAAAAAATACAAATTTAAAAATCGCTAAATTTTGTCATTTTTTTCACTTTTAGCTTCGATGCGAAGCTGAGAAGGTATTGGTTTTACTAAGATNTTCACTTTTAGCTTCGATGCGAAGCTGAGAAGGTATTGGTTTTACTAAGATTTTATTTTATCTTCATGATGAAAACAGACATCAAAGTTTATAAAAAAAATACGATTTTTGTAAAAAAATTCTTTTTTATATTTTTAACTTTATAATGCTATAACTTTTTGAAAGATGTATGGATCAATATAGTTTGTAGTCTGTATTACTATAACTTATTTAGGTATTAGATTAAAAGCATTGCTTCTTGTGAATATTTACTCTAAATATAATGAAATTTAAACATAACTCATGTCATTTCTAATATATTAAGACTTTTTTATTATCACCAATTTATTTTCAAAATAAATTCTTGTATACATGATATAAAGAGGGGAACAATCCCTACTGCTAACTCCCAACTTTTGATACAATTAAAATTTTACCATAAATTTTTAAAAATAATTTATGCGAGATTTTCCAACAAAAAAAATTTATTGAGATACAAAAATTTTAATACAGCATATATGTATGCAATAAAATATTTGTAAATTAATCGTTACTTATCCTAAAATCGTTAATGACCCATTACATTTTTTTCTAAAAAGAGCTATAAATAAAATAATGTAAAAAAAGAAAGCTTTTATAAAATCACAATTACGTAACAAGTCGAAAAGAACTTAAAACGTATAGATTCATTTTTAAATTCATTTTTCTTCAACACATACTCATGTCTATAATTAAAAAGATTGTAATTATAGTATAAAAGAATGCGATGTAAAACGTTATAATCATTTAGTAAAGTTATACACTTATACATATATACACTTTTGCAGAGGTTCAGTATATAAGGAAATAGAAGTTGATGATGTTTTTTGAATAATCCAACAATTCCTTTTAAAAATTAAACAATATCTACAGATTCATATCTGTACATTTTTACAGTAACACAATTTTTCTAACCTATTGCGACGTAGAATTTTAAATCGTTTCATCTTAATATGTATTAGTGTACAACATTTACATTCAATAGTATTTTATAGAATTCCCTTAAAAAAAAAAAAAAATTTTTCTGGTTTTAAAAGTTATAATTTATTTACGGTAAATTAATAAGATCCCTGTTAATTTTTTATTTAAAGTTTTTATTGATGGCAGATCAAAACTTTTTCTTCTCGTGAGTTAATGATATCACCTAGTTCATCTACAAAATAATTCATAGGTCGAGAATAAAATTTATGAATACCCAATAAATCCTTCCTAAAAAGCTTGACACATTTTTCTATTTGCATTTTACAACTGATAAGGTCATTGCCTTTAACGTTTTCTTTCAATTGTTTTATTTGAAATATAATATTAAATATTCCCTTTTGTACATCCTGTTTGGCTTGTTTTTTGTTTTTTAATTTTAATATTAAACATATATAATTTGAAATATCTTGAATCAAATCTAAATTCAGGCAATAATAATATTAATCAAAAATATTGAATACAAAAAAAACTCGTATTAATTTATCTAAATTTATATTAAAAAAAATACAATGTTTAAAAATAACTTTAAGATAGGTGTTATACAAATGTACATTTTCCCATTAACGTGCACCAAACGTTATCAGCTGAGCTACCATTACACAGCACACACAATAAAATTTACTATAGCTAAGATTGATCTAATTAAATATATTTCTTAAAATATTAATTTAGAAATCACGATATGTATATATATAATTACAATATTAATATCGTATTGAATTATCGGTATCGTTGCACATCTCTAGTAAATACTATGCCATGCAAAATTTTTTACTTCAATATATTTAATTTATGTGTTATAATCTCTGGTTACGTCATTGTTAGTGTAATTTTTAAAAAATATTGAGGTTTACTGGAATTGGTTATTCATTTGGAACCTAATAAAATATTATTATTAATATTACTTTACCTTCATATACATCGTATGATCGCAAATGAAAATTTTCGTACAAACATTTACTTAGCTTTGAACGTTTATCAAATAATGTATCAATATCCATTTCCTCTTTAGTTAGATCAACCTAAATTACAACATTATTATAAAATATGTATGAATCAGGTTTCTCAAAGAGTTATTTCCAAATTATAGTTATGATTAACGTTTATTCATTCATAAAAAATATAAGTACCATATTTAAAATGTTTTTAAATTTATGAATTAAAATGTAATATTCTCGAGTACTGTCTTTTTAAATAACATCGAAATATTAAAATATCAGAAGAAAAAATAAAATCATTTATAATTTCTAAAAGAATAATAATAATAATAGTTTTATATAAATAAGTCTAAGTAATTTAAACATAAAAGTATTTATAAAGATTTTTTAATTACATATATATATATATATATATGTAAATAATTAGAAGTTTGCATTTAATACTTTCAAGTATTATGAAATTGTATAGTCAAAAATAGTTGTCATCATGAGTTTGGGTCGTTTTTATTGAAATACTGGTATTACAATTGATTTTTGTGTTAAAATATTAATAAAAATATTTAAAAATTATTATTTAAATTATTGAAAAAAACCTAGTAGACATATAGAAAATGAAAATGTTGAAAATTGAAATGACAAAAACTTTAAAATTATTATTAATAGAAATTTTGACACTCATGTTTAATATTTATATTTTGGAAAATATGTTTTATAATTTTTCTCAATAATATTTGTGCCAATTCATTCATTTTCTGAATATTTGGAAGTATTAATTTAACTCTAATCTCATTCAGAATTATTTTTTATTATTTTTTTTAACCTTTTGTGAAATTAACATTTTGAATCAAAAGCATGGGGTTCAAAATCCATAATAAAACATATTTAATAATTACTTTTTTTTCACATATCTGTAATAATTTGCCTTCTTTATTTGTTATATTACCAATTGTATTCAATAATATTTCATCGTAGTCATAATTAGCATAATTTATTATTATATCAAAAAATCTGTGACTACATTCATTCATCAAAGATGTGCATTTTTCATAATTAATGTTACTAAGTCTATTTTTACAGGCAACTTTGATTATTTCTAATCTTGTTAATTTTATAGCTTCTTTTTTGTTCTTCATTTTAAGAAGTAAGCATGATAATTTTTCCAATTTAGCTTCTAATACTACAAAATTGTAAAATTAAATTTATTACCAATTGAATATAAATCCTAATACGCACCATGAGTAATACTATTACAATAGTTTTTAAGTAAAAAAGCAATAGATGGTATTTTATTAATATATAAAATATTGTAATTGGATATTTATTCTATTATTAAACATAAAATTATGTATACAATTACTATTTTCATTTTCAATTGAAATATCATACAACACCATGCACTTTTGTAATGCCAATTTTGATTGTTTTAAAGTACAATTTTCGTTGTTATCATCAGCATATGTTTGAATAATCTGAAAATTTTTAGAATGTTTAAATTTACAATGACGGCTTTCCTAGATTAGTACCACGTCGTGCCTTTCGTAGAGTTTTATCAATTTCAATGAGCTAGCCTATGTAAGTTTTCCCGTCCTTTCTGGCACAAGCAGTAGCTTTTAGAGAGAACGTTATGCACGATTGGATTTGAATAATTTAAATTTCAAATCTTATTATGAAATGCAAACTATTTTCCATTATACTTATTACAATTTTAAACATTATCATAAATTTATTAATGCCTTAGAATTATAGTTTCTATATAAGAATAAAGAAATAAATATTTATTAATTTTTTCGATAGTGTAGAAATGTACTGTTTTGTTTAATTTTACTTTAAATATTTATAATTTTATGGTACTATTTATAAATAAATGATTTGTATTAATTAATTATACGTAACTAATGTAAATATTAATTCATTTGGCCAATAACCTCACCAATGAAGGTCATTTAATATAATAAAAAAAACGGTAGCACAGTGGGGTCGCGGCATAGTTGGACACAGTATAGATTTAATCTGACAGTGATTAAAATCACTATCATAAGAAACGCTTCGATGCAAATCTGTAGATAGTGTTTAATTTTAAAAAATTGATGGATAATTGCAAAAGCAACATCAACTTCTATTAAAATAAAATACAAAACCCATAATTATCATACAAAAATAGTATATTTTTCAATATGGTAGCCATTTGCGTATAGAAGATAGATCGTCGGGACAAATTTTTTTTTTTCATTTTATAGTACATAAAATAAGCTTTAATTTTATATATGTTTAAAGGACGCAGTATTTCCGGAACATTTTCAAAAATTAAGTTGAAAAAGTTATTTTTTGTAAAAAAGTTACTATTTTAAATCCTCCCAGTGAGCAGAATAAGTGTTAGATTTTCAAAAAAAATTATATCAAATGAAAGGGAAATATCTAAGGTTTCAATACAAAAAAATATTATTTTTATTTGTTCATTTTTGAAAAAGTTATGGCAGTTTTAAGTACAAAAAACATCCCGATAAAAGGTAATTTTTATCGCAAACATTACATTTTTTTTTTAAATTTTCTACAGCCATTTGCACATAGAAGATAAGATGTCGGGACAAATTTTTTTTTTTCATTTGATAGTATATAACATAACCTTTGATTTGATATATGTCTAAAGGACACAGTATTCCCGGAACATTTTCAAAAGTTAAGTTGAAAAAGATCTATGTTTTTTACAATATTTCAAGTTTTTAACGCCCCCTATATAAGGGGAAATTGTCCAATTTTAATAAAAAGTATGTCAAATGAAAGATGTACTTATAATGTATTTAGAAAAAAAAAATTTGTGCTGATATATACATTTTTCAAAAAGTTATAGCATTTTTAAGTTGAAAATTTAAAATCGAAAATCGAAAATTTTAACACAAAAATAGTGTTTTTTTAACTACGGCAGCCGTTTAAATGTAGAAAAAAAAGTGTCGGGACAAATTTTTTTTTTTAATTTTATAGTACATAAAATGAGATTTAATTTGATATATGTTTGAAGGACGCAGTATTTCCGGAACATTTTCAAAAGTTCAGTTGAAAAAGATCTATGTTTTTTACAATATTTTAAGTTTTGAACGCCCCCTATATAAGGGGAAATTGTCCAATTTTAATAAAAAGTATGTCAAATGAAAGATGTACTTATAATGTATTTAGAAAAAAAAAATTTGTGCTGATATATACATTTTTCAAAAAGTTATAGCATTTTTAAGTTGAAAATTTAAAATCGAAAATCGAAAATTTTAACACAAAAATAGTGTTTTTTTAACTACGGCAGCCGTTTAAATGTAGAAAAAAAAGTGTCGGGACAAATTTTTTTTTTTCATTTTGTAGTACATAAAATAAGCTTTAATTTGATATATGTTTGAAGGACGCAGTATTTCCGGAACATTTTCAAAAATTAAGTTGAAAAAATTAATTTTTGTAAAAAAGTTACCATTTTAAATCCTCCCCCTATATAAGGGGAAATTGTCCAATTTTAATAAAAAGTATGTCAAATGAAAGATGTACTTATAATGTATTTAGAAAAAAAAAATTTGTGCTGATATATACATTTTTCAAAAAGTTATAGCATTTTTAAGTTGAAAATTTAAAATCGAAAATCGAAAATTTTAACACAAAAATAGTGTTTTTTTAACTACGGCAGCCGTTTAAATGTAGAAAAAAAAGTGTCGGGACAAATTTTTTTTTTTCATTTTGTAGTACATAAAATAAGCTTTAATTTGATATATGTTTAAAGGACGCAGTCTTTCCGGAACATTTTCAAAAATTAAGTTGAAAAAATTAATTTTTGTAAAAAAGTTGCCATTTTAAATCCCCCCCAATGAGCAGGTTAAGTGATAGATTTTCAAAAAAATGATATCAAATGAAAGGTAAATATCTAAGGTTTTAGTATAAAAAAAAATTATGTTGATTTGTTGATTTTTCAAAAAGTTATGGAAGTTTTAAGAAAAAAAAGTGAAAAAATTTCGAAAATTAGCGATTTTTAAATTTGTAATTTTTTTGGATATTTCCCCCATTTGCGGGGAACGAGGGAATTTTTTTCAATTTTTAAGGGTAATGTCTTCAACTAGATACGATTTGTGATCTTTTGACGTATTTTTGAAAGAAATCGGTCCAGTGAGAGCTGAGAAAAAGTGGCAACAGACATAAAAAAAAAAAAAAAACACATCATAGTAAAATTAATACCTTCTCCGCTTCGCATCGAAGCTAAAATTAAGAAATTATTTGACTAATATAAGGAAAAATATTATTAAAAAAAAATTAATAAACTTCTCATACTTTGTAATCAATCAAAAATTTAAATTAGAAATATAATTGTAATATTGTAATTAATGGTTGTAATAATTTCATAATTTTATTTTTGTATATTATTACCAGTATTAATGTGAATATGTTGAATAACCAATACATAGTTGACACGTATCTGGAATTTAAAATTAAGCTGGAACTATTTAAATCAGTTAGCATACTATATATTTTAAACTAAAAGTGTATATATTATTAAAGAATTGTTTCATTTAATACTTAAGTTTAAGTAAAAATAACTTGTAACAACTAAGTAAACTTAATATTGTGTAAGAATAATACTTAAAACTGAATATTGTTGACTTTGCCTATCAAATATAATGTTAAAATTTTTTTGTATGATCATAAAAATTTTACTGAGTTGTAATAATATGTTTTTTGATTTATGAATGAAGTACTTTTTCGGTTCATACCTAATGCTTTGTAAGGACGTCAACTTAATTTATTTCTTGGACAACATACATATTTTTTTTTAATATTGTATTTATTTTGAGAGTAATCAAGTGGATTAGATAAACCGATCATTCTGTATTATATATGACCTTTGCATATCAATTTTTTTCATTTCAATTTATAGAAAATGTTCCAGAACGTCTACATAGTTCGTTACTATATCAATTAAAAAGTTAGTTTGTATAAATTGCCATTCTTAAACAGAAATTTAACAGATTCGCATTGAACCGTTTTTATTATAGTGATGTTAATCACTGTTAGATATCATCTATACTTGTCCCAATTATGTCACGTCTTCACTTAGCGGGTTATTTTATATTGTAAATAGTTGAGGTTATGATAAATAGATCATTCTGTATTTGTTATAGTAATAGATATGAATTTGTAATAATAAATTTGTAATAATATATAATATTGATATTATAATATTTGAGTCAATTTGATATCTTTTAGAAGGATATATAATAAATCGAGAAGCAGTGGCGCCTACAAGTATCCCAACCAGAGAAGTGAGAGAAACACTATGAGCCAAGAGAGGGCGTAACTAGTATTTTATCAATTTTCAAACCAATGGTTTTATTAGTGAAGTGATTTTATGGGATCAAAAAATTTTTTAAATATTTAGGGAAAACAATTAGGTTTAGATTGAACAATAACACGGTCGAAGTTTCACCGTCAGTCTGTGATTGACAAGATTACCGACAAGTATAATATCTGGATAACATGTGTGTTATTTAGAATTAATCTTAATAAACATAGTTTTCAAATATCGGTGTTTTATTTTATTGAACTTAATTTATTAAACTTGACGATTAGAATTGCTATTGATTAGAGTGATAATTAATTCGTAATTTATATTCGTATCTTTTTCCAACCACAACCACGAAAATTAGTCTCAAAATGTTTGTTTTATAAATTAAATGGAGAATAACAATCGAACTGTCATTTTAGTCTTTTCAGGCGTTTACTATTAACACCACATTTAAATATGACCAAATAACACCATAGAAATATGTACAATTCGTTAATGGCTAGTTAACGAACAAAGATTCGATTATGGTAACTAACGACCAAAACAGTTGTTAGTTTTTTTTGTGTCTGTTACCACTTTTTCTCAGCTCTCATTGGACCGATTTCTTTCAACAATACGTCAAAAGATCGCAAATTGTATCTAGTAGAAGACATTACCCTCAAAAATAGAAACAATTTCCCTCGTTACCCGTAAATGGGGGAAATCAACAAAAAAATTACAAATTAAAAAATCGCTAATTTTCGAAATTTTTTCAATATTTTTGATTTAAAACTACCATAACTTTTTTAAAAATAATCAAATCAATATAATTTTTTTTTTTAAATGCTTGATGTTTTTACCTATTATTTGACATATTTTTTTTATAGATCTGACTTTTTACCTACCTACAGAGGGGATTCAAAATTACAACTTTTTCAACTTAAATTTTGATAGTGTTCCGGAAGGTCTGACACTTTTATATATATCTTAAATTAAAGCTAATGTAATCTACTTTATTATGTAAAAAAAAAATTTCGGACTTTATTTGGTCTTCACGGTGAAAATGGCTATCGAATGCTATTATTGTGTGAAAATTCTCGATTTTATTTTTTACATTTTTAATATTATAATGCTATAACTTATTGAAAAGTGTATGGATCAATACAATTTTTTTATGAGAAATAATATTTTTTAATAATCTCTTTTTTGTTCGACGTACTTTATCTGAATCAAGATATTAATAAGGAACTAGCAGATCATGTAGCTTTTGGAATAATACACCAATTTTTTAAAATTAAACACTATCTAAAGATTTGCATCGAAGCGTTTCTTTTTGATAGTGATTTTAATCACTGTCAGATATCATTATACTTGACCCATCTATGCCACGTCACAACTGAGCTGCGACCCCCCTGTGCTGGGTTTTTTTGAAAATCTAACACATAGCCTGTTCATTGGGGAGGATTTAAAATAGCAACTTTTTATAAAAACTAACTTTTTCAACTTAATTTTTAAAAATGTTCTGGAAATACTGTGTCCTTTAAACATATATCAAATTAAAGCTTATTTTATATACTATAAAATGAAAAAAAAAATTTGTCCCGACACTTTATCTTCTACATTTAAACAGCTGCCGTAGTTAAAAAAACGCTAATTTTGTGTTAAAATTTTCGATTTTAAATTTTCAACTTATAAGTGCTATAACTTTTCGAAAAATGTAATTATCAGCACACATTTTTTTTTCTAAATACATTGTAAGTACATCTTTCATTTGACATACTTTTTTTTAACATTTGACAATTTTCTCATATATAGGGGGCGTTCAAAACTTGAAACATTCTAAAAAAAAATAGAACTTTATCAACTTAACTTTTGTAAGTATTCCGGAAATACTGCGTCCTTTAAACATATATAAAATTAAAGGTTATGTTATATACTATAAAATGAAAAAAAAAAATTGTCCCGACACCTTATCTTCTATGTGCAAATCGCTGTCTAAATTTAAAAAAAAATGTAATGTGTGCGATAAAAATCACCTTGTATCGGCATGTTTTTTGTACTTAAAACTGCCATAACTTTTTCAAATATTAACAAATCAAAATAATATTTTTTTATAATGAAAGCATAGGTAATTTCCTTTCATTTGATATTATTTTTTTTTTGAAAATCTAACACTTATGTCATGTACTATATAATTAAAGAAAAAAATTTGTCCCGATGGCGACCTATCTTTTATGCGCAAATGGCTACCATATTCAAAAGTATGCTATTTTTGTGTTAAAATTCTGGGTTTTATTTATTTTATTTTAAAATATCTTACAAGGAGAATACACTGTCTTTCATGAGTATTATATAATTTAATCAACATAAAATAAGGTTCATAAGACATATGACAGATTAAATCTATACTGGACTCAACTATGCAACGTCCCTACTATGCCGCGCCCCACTGTGCTGGTTTTTTAAAACTAAGTATGAATTTTTTACTTAATGTTTAACTTTGAAATATGAATTAAAATGAGTGTTGGATGCTACATTTACGTTAGTGTCAGTGTACTTATATTATTCAAAACCTCCTGGATTGAGTAATGGCGACTTAGTATAAAGTAACTGTTATAGTGATCCTATTATTATCCTCGTATTTTTGATGTTATAATATGTAATATCAAAGGTTTAAAAATAATAGTTATTGGCCAAAAGTAATTTAAATAAAACTATAGTTAAAATTAAACTTTTTTTTGAAATTACATAACCCAGGGAAAATCTATTCACTGAGTTACCGATACAAATAAATACTGAATACTTTTTCCTTTTGTAAACACATAAAAATATAGTCGATGGTATTTTTATTTTACAACAAAACTTTAGAAACAGGTTATAAAACGTCCACAACTAATGCTTTAAGACGAGAGGGTTATATTATTTTAGATCACATATCAAATGGGAGTTATGGAGAAGTTCGTCATTCTAAATATATAACTGAAAATTCTGAGCAAGATTTAGTTGTGAAAATAATTGATACACACCAGACGAGTAAAGATTATGTTACAAAATTTTTACCGCGTGAACTAGATATACTACGAAAAATTAATCATCCATATATTATATACACACACAGTATATTGCAGAGAAAAGCGGTGCTTTTTATTTTTATGGCCTATGCAGGAAAAGGTACTAATAGGTGTAGGTATAAATTATTTTCAATGTCCACTATAATTGACATCTATGTTGTTTTCAAAGGTGAGCTTTTGCAGTACGTAATTAAAGAAGGGCCTTTAAAAGAAAATCGAGCTAGAGTATGGTTCCGACAATTGGTACTGGCGCTGCAATATTTACATACAATGGACATTGTGCATAGGGATATCAAATGTGAAAATATTCTCATAACAAATAATTTTACTATGAAATTAGCTGATTTTGGTTTTTCGAGATTTGTAAACAGGTCAAAAAGGTTAAATTGCAATACTTATTGTTGTTCCATCGCATACGCTCCGCCAGAAGTGTTAAACACACGACCGTACGATGGGAAAGCTTCAGACATTTGGTCTTTAGGGGTTGTACTTTACGTAATGATAAATAAAAAAATGCCATTTAACGATTCGAATGTGAAACTAATGTACAAACAACAAGTAACTTTATTTTTATTCTCCATTTTGACTGGCATGCCATTCTTCTAGTATGTGCAATTTAAGGTTAAGCGTGAATGGCATTATCGATCCAGTGTAGAGCAAATGATTAGTCAGGAAGCAAAAACTTGTGTTTATAATATGCTGCAACCAGAAGCTAAAAAACGTTGGACTACGGATAAAATATTAAACAGTGAATGGATAAAGATGAATCCTAAATTAATCACAATGAATGAAAACGAAACACTGGCTTTGGTGGAAGCGATGAAAATAAATCAAACAAAACATAATCAACACCTGAAAAAAATCGACTCGAATAATACCGGCACTCAGCAGTTGTTAAACAAACGTCCTCCAAAGTTTGAAAGTCATACACAGTCTATGTTATCAGTTGACGTAAATGAATTAAATTCTGAAAATAAGTTGTCCAAAGTACACTCTATTAGACGTTCTGCTAGAGTTTTGAATGCCAATAAGTTATTAGTCGATAGCGATAATTCTTCTAAGGATATATTATAGGTACTAAAATAAAAATTAAAACAAAATTTATACATATTAAATAAATACATACTTCTCGAATATGAGAATATCAAAAATATTTTCGGAATCTTTGCATTTATTTTTTCGTTATAGATCAAAAAATGTACGCAATGGAGAGTGTAAACAGATATTTAACAATTGGTCGAAGTTGTTCTTGTATGGAGACTTAGTTCTTCAGCATTACTATTTGTTGATATCTATTATTGGATTGGAATGCCAGATGAAGTTGCTTAAACGCGCACGGGCACAATTGTTGTATAATTATCTTTTTGTAAATTTAAGAAACCGCCGTTCTTATATTTTTGTATGTATTATCATCGTATTAATTACTAGAGATAATTAGTATTGCTTGTGTCCTCTCATTAATATAGTTATTTCAGTTGGTAAAAAAAATATTTGTATTATTCAGATAGGTCAATTAATTTGAATACGCTCTTAGAAAATCTTCACCGCTACGACCCTATTATCTTTCATTCGATTATACAAATTGTAATATTTTAAGATTCTTTCAATGAGGCAATTATTATCGAAATTTGATCTTGTAGTATAGTTCATTTAATTAAATCGCTTTCACAATTTATGTAAAGACGTGAAATTTGACTTTGAAGAATTACAGTAGTTTATCATATTAAGATTTTATTTACACAATTCCATAAATACTAAACGATTTTTTATAAAATTCGAAGTAAAATTATAATATCGCAATATTAGTAACTATCATTCAATATCTAATTTATATGTGAAAATATTTTACATTTATCAGTAGTTACTGTTTATAATATATAAAAGAAACCCAATAGCTTTTAAACAATTAAACAGCTTTTATATGATGTATTGCGTGTATGATAAAATAATTTTTTTTCCTCATCTTAGTGATTTGTCACTGAATTAAAAAACCATTGCATATAAAAGTGAAGTATACTTCTTAAAAAATCATAAATGTACTCATCCTGGAATACTATGGTATATAAAATACACATTTATGACTTAAGTCTCCGTATTTCGAATGATATTCTTGAAATTTTTTATTTTCGTCCTATTAGAAGGAATAAATGCATAATAAAAGCGAAGCAAGTCATGGATACCAAGTTTTTTACAAGTATATATGTGCTTGTTTTATCAGATAATTTATCAAATATTAAAACATATTTAAATTTTTACGTATTCATGAGATAACAGTTATCATATGACTTAAGACTATTTGATAAAAGATTTTTTTATGCCCTCTTCGTTTTGTAACTAAAAAATTTAAATTTTTAACAATTGCTTAAAACAATTTTTTGATTGAACAATAAAATTTAAAAAATTTTTTCAGTCGAAGATTACCTATAATTTGTTATAAGGTCATTAATCCATAATTTTAATTATTTAAAAAATTTAATCGTATAATAAATATTATATGTAATTTGATATTAATCCTTACACGTATATTATATACTAATAAAGTTCATCTATACTATCTTAATATATATTCACTTCAACGAAAATTTTATTAAAATAAATGATTTGAAATGAATTTGATTTTACAAAAATTCAATTTTTTTTATGGGAAAACTTATTTTAAAGATAATTAAAAACTATTATGAATAACATAATATTGGATATGAACTGAAAATTTTACATAAAAACTTTATTTTATTCGTGCTGCACATTTGTCGTATAGCAAATATTCATCAGATTTCTTTTCCTTTTATATTGGTATAATGATACAATTTAAAAATAATATCAGTTTTAGTTGGTAAAGTACTGTTTTTTCGATATTTTACAGCCGGAATAATAATAATACTATTTTCATTCCAAATTATTGGAATATTGCCAAATTCAAAAAACATTAGTTTGAAATTTAAATACTAAAATATAAACTAATATAATTTTAATTTAATTAAATAGTATTACGCGTGTGTTGAAAGAAATTATGCAAGAAAGTGACCAAATTTTGATTTTTTTTATAAAATTATTGTTTATTTATTGTATAAGGAACATAATTAATATTTTCACGAAGTTTAATTAGACATATTAAGTTATATTTTACAATTAAGTAGAAGTGTGATAATTTATGGTAAATGACATAACGATTTGAAGTAATGCATGATAATATAAACAAATTATAAAAAGGATTAATAAAAATTAGTCAAACGTATTATGATTGCTCATTATGAATTAAAATATGTAGTTTATACTTTTGAGAAGTGCCAAACCGTTTGTTACAGATGGAACAAGTGCGAGGCTTGTTATCTGAGTGTACTCTTATGTGCATCTGTAAATGTTCGCGCCTCATGAAAGTCTTGTTACAAACATTACAATGATGTAAGATTTCAGTAACGTGGACCCTAGTGTGTGTCTGTAGATATTTCAACCGTGTAAATGATCTATTACAAATATTACACTTAAACGACTTTTTGTGCATTTTTTTGTGTTCCTTCAGGGCTGATTGGTCCATGAACGATTTGCGACACTTGTCGCATTTATAAAATTCATCCTTAAAATGAATCTTTTCGTGAAATTTCAAAATACATAGCCGTTTGAAATATTTTCCACAAACTTTGCATGTATAGTTTAAAGTAGGTGGGTCATGTTTGAATGTCGCACCATTTTGAATACCTATAGTATTAATCTTTATATTATCGTTACTAGATACTTGTTTTCTATCGGTTTGCAATGCTACATCTTTTACAAAAACTTTAGATTTCAATTCGAATGAGTCCAGCTGAGTTGTTGGGTGTGTTTTTTTTACCCGTGGATGGATATTTTTGTTCTTATAGTCAATAGGATCGAATTTATTAACCAACATTGGTTTTTCTTCACGAATCGAGTTGGATAATATAGTTTCAGAGAGCGAACTTTTCACCATATGATCGTCGCTAAAAATATAAAAAAATGTTTGCAAAGAGTTTGTAAAATGTTGTGGTCACATCATATTTATGTAATGAATTCTTATTATATAATGTATGATGCGTTTTTTTTTCATTTAATAACTAGCAAATATTTAGTAATTTTATTTTCATAATATTATAAATTTAGCACAAATAGAGTAATTGTTTTATTATTAAAAACATTTTTTGTAATATTATTTCATTATATGCTAAATGTTTAACGAAAATATTTATTATTCAAGTAAAACAACGATACTATAGAAAAACATATAGTACCGTTTATTTTAAATTTATCAATTTAAAAATTGTCTATTTCAGATTTATAGGAGTTATTAAAATACTAAATATAGCTGTTAAAGTATTTCATTTTTTTTAATAAGACTTGCATTTTTTTCATTACAACAAAATAGGCTTGAAAAATGAATGCTTGTTAAAAAGAGAGTTTTATTCAAAAAAATTTAAACCTCATTGGAAACTTAATTGAAATTTTTTAATTCCATTTTATTATTTATTAATTTTTCTATTGACTACAAAATAATTATTGTACTTACGGAATTATAAATGAGCCTAAGTTACTTTCAACAACTTCACACTCCATTGTAATAATGTATTTTTCATCTAAAAATTAATTAATTATACTATTGTATGATTGTGCAAAAATTAGTATGACTTACCAATAAAGATATCACTTTCTAGATAACTGTACTTCATTGTGAAATATTAACAATTTTACAATGAAGAAAAAAAATATTAAGATCAAAATCAGAAATTCTTCTAGAAGAACTTAAAAAATTTTATGGTAATAGTTTTTTTTTCAAAAGCAACAAAATGAACGGATGGTCAAACAAATCTATAGGGAAAAAGAACAAATGCAATATAAGACATCGAGTTTCTACTCAATAACCGTTGACTATTACATTTGTCATAGATTTTTAAGATGTCAACATCGCGTTGCAGCTTATAAAATTGCCATAGATGATTGTTATCAAAATAGCCAAAATTCTAAAATTGTAACGATAACCTGTTATGCTTAGTTATCATGTATATTAGTTAGAAAAAATGATAGATAATTTATTTATATATATATATGTGCGTGTGTATGTGTGTTGATATGTATATTATTAATACATAATATTATTACATAAACTCTACAATATTAAACTCGCATATATCTGTGATTAAATTACAGTCTAATTTCCAGGGGTTACATTATGTTATCTTAGTTATGTAAAAATACCATATTTTATTTTTCAGAGATTTAATACATGCATAATAAACAAGATTTTTATGATTAAATAACAACTGAATCGGTTATTTGAAAAGCAACAACAAGTCAGAAAATATTATTTATAAAAAAATTGTTTTGAAATCGATTACAAACAGTATAAAACAAAAAAACCGATTTCAAAAATAAACTCTCAACCTTGAAAAAAATAAATCTTTTCAAGTTCATTAACTCATATATTTGAAAACAATAAGTGCATATTTAAAATGACAGATTCGCTAGCGAGAAAAGCTGTCTAGAATATGGTATATTTTCTGTAGTAATTTTAAAGTAATTATAAAAATAAATTCATTCCCTTTCGGTAGATAGCGATTTATTAAATTAAGTCATTTAAGTAAGGAAAGAGTAGTTTTTTAAAAATGTTAACGTTAACTATATCTATACATTGGTAACTTTTAAACTGTCGTGATATGCTTAATACTTTGCATTACGCATCTCACAATTATCAATGAAGAAAGTATAATCTGTATTTTAAATAACTTGTAAACAAACAAATAATTTATCTGTCATAACAAATACAATGTTCAAAACAATTTCTGNAATAATTTATCTGTCATAACAAATACAATGTTCAACACAATTTCTTATTATATACATATATGTCAACTCATCTATTGTTAACTATGCTATCAATATAATTATCATGTAATGTATACTTTAAAACAATAAAATATAATCATGAATAACACAAACGGCAATATCCCTGGATATGGGGGTACCTCTTCAANGGGGTACCTTTTTAGTACTATAAAAAGTACTGATATCCATTGAAAAAGACAGAGAGAGAGAGACAGAGCCACGGCTACGGCTAAGGCCAGAGCCACAGCTCCAGTAAGCTAGTTCTTTCCTGCAAACTACTCTTGCTATTACATTTTGATCACGGCCCCGTGCTGCCGTTTGAGTTATTTTATTTTGTTTACTTTATTTGTGTTTAAAACTTATTTTGGTCTATAAAGACATTATTACCATAAATAAATAATATTGAGTAAAAATTGGCACTTCTGGTAAATACTTCATTTATCTTCTTGGACATTACANATTGAGTAAAAATTGGCATTTCTGGTAAATACTTCATTTATCTTCTTGGACATTACAAAATACGAAGGTAAGTCAATTTATATTATTCCATTTATTTAAAGTTAATAATCTGAGTAAAGAACGATAAAGCAATAGATCTATAATCTCCTTTTAATATCAAGAGCTATTTTGCTAGTTTGTTCACACCTGCTACATATACACATTACAGGGTCTCGAGGGTCGGATTACCGCCCCGTGCCTAAAAAGAGTTTAAAAACCTAATGTGTATCTGATTATATTAATAGACACTTCGACTGGGTATTCGAGGGTCGGATTACCGCCCCGTTACCTCAGTGTCCTATTAAAGGTGTTTACAAGTTTATTAGCTCATATTCCTCAAGAAAGAGGACATGCTTTTATTTCTTCATATCTACTTGTCTTTATTGTTCTAAACCCTCGAACCATACGACCCCGATAGAACCACAACATCAGGTTCTCACTAAGCTCAAATATTTATCTTTCATTATTTTTATTTTACCAACTCTGCTTTAAATATTTTTGAATTATAACAAAACAGTAAAATAGAAATTATAAGGAAATTATTTTTCTTAATGCTTAATCAATTAATAACTCAAAAACTAATGAAATAGCGTATAAAATAATGTTTACACAATAATATTATTATACAAATTCTATTTTTATCTTATGATAATAATACGTAATTGTTTTTTATAAAATGCCTATTGTATTTTATTATTTTGTATAACACACATCTGTATAACAATTTGTTTTACACGAGTCATGTATAAAATTTATTAAAATTTACCTTAAATTTATTTTGAAAATATTTAGATGACTGAAAAATAATATATTTACTGTATTTACGACAGTAGATATATCAGAAATCTTTTTAAAAATAAATTTATTTTTAAAAACTGGAACTATAATTTATAAGTTCAAGTTTTCGATCTTTGAAAAATGATTTTAAACTACTGGTTTGGTTTCTTTTTATACATAAAATATAAGTTTTCGTACTAATTGATAAAAATTACTTTAACCATCGGATAGGGGCGTTATCAGTATTAAAAATTCAGTTTAATATATAATTACATATTATATAATATTATGAAAATGTTCAACATTAAACTCGATGTTCTGAAAAATTAATCAGCTTAAAACTTTTTATAGTAAGTACTTTTAGACGAAAAATACTATACATTTTTTAATAGCATTATCAAAGTATGGTGTATTAATTTTACAACTGTTATAAAAATAAATTGTTAATAAAAGTGTAGTTTAACAGTAATTTTTTATAATTTCCTCCAAAAATTTATATTTTTCTATTAAATCAAATCAAATAAAATATCAATTCAATTTGTTGAACTCGGCAGTGAAATGTTAACATTGCTATTAAAGATCATCGACATTTATATCATGTCGTTGACTTTAACAAATAAACAATTCACCGGCTTATTTGTACGATTCAAGATTCCAATTAAGTACCTCCGTTATTCTTTCTTAAAACTTCACAGGGTAATTTTTTTTTCGCATAAGTGATGCACACGAGTTTTTTTTAGATAATCGACAAAGTTTTCGGTAATAAAAGAACAAACTTTTTTTTGGGTAAACAAAAATATATTATATACATTTGTTCAAATGACTACCGTAAAACTCGGTGGAAATTTTGTCACGGCACAATGACACGCGACTACCGATATTAAAACAATCCCAATGGTAATATTTTCAAGCGTTAATGTTAGAAAAATATCAACTCTTAAGCGTGTAATGTACCGTGTTATAAATTACAATGTCCCGAGAATACAGAGATAAATAATTTCACTGTGCTTTATTTTTCCGGTGCAACTAAAACTGATTTCTAGTAAAGTTTGCGGTAATGTGCATTCGTTTTGGTTCATAATTTCCACATGACAAAATTGGTCACTTGCTAGTGGTCAAAGTAACTATTTAACACTCGATGAGCATTTAATAGATTAAAATATATTGGTACGCTTGAACTACTAAACAAACGTTTAATTATCAGTTCGTATAAATTATATAAAATAATCTAAAAAATCAACTCGTTTTTGCTTTACTCGTAGTAGTTTTAACAAACTTCATCATTTAAGTTGGTTAACATGTAATTTTAACGACTTCTATCAGTATGATTTATGTGGTCCATAATTTCGAATTAACACGGTTTTTATTAATAAAATCTTCTATTTATTACACGAAATGAACAAAAAAATAAAAATATACAAACATTCTTAAAAGTAAATATAAAATTGAAAAATGAATGCAGTTAACTAATTAGCTGCACAAATACATAATTTCTTTAATAAGATATAAATCGATTGATATTTTTTCTTTGCAATAATTTTTAATGACAATTTCGTTTGTTCTGAAATCATTCACCTACTTAAGACCTGCGGTTTCTGTAGAATAACTAAATTTTATTCAGGAGGACTATGAACTCGGATTAAAAAAATACAAATATTTGTATAATATGTTTTACTTAGGGTAAATAGGTTGGAAGCCATGCTTACTTTAGATATGCAACTAGCTGTTTTCTGAAACAGTTTTTGTTAATTTTTGATGTTGATTTAGAATGAATTACTTGGAATATATTTATCATCGTCATAGCCGTCTTATTGGGTACGGATATCAGGGTAGGGATTCTACGAATCAATTGTGTTTATTCTCAATAACATAATGAAATGAACATAAAGTGGTTCTTTTGTCAATATTAAAATGAAAACATACGTCGATGTATTACAAATATAGTTTACATTAATAAGAAACAAAAATGTTTTTGAAGTAGTTTCATTGTATGGAAACATTTACAATTTTAAATGTTGCAAATTATTAGTTACTGTTTTATTTTGATTTAAAATTAAAATAATAAATTATAAAACATGTTATTTTCGGAAGATTAGCCTTTCAAACTAAATGAGTGTACTCCCTAGATCCTCTTTATATTTTTGAAATTGTCATAATGTTTTATTATAGATTTGTTGATAACCCTGTACAAATTTGGTAGTGTAGCAATACTTCTAGTTGTAGTCTAGATAAAGCGGATAGCGTAGTCGGGAATTTTGTTTATGGGAGAGGTTAAGGACCTTATTTCATTTTTTAATATATTAAATACTCTCACCAGCATCAAATTCATATACTCCTTATAATAATAATTGAATTATGGCCTCTTTAGACGTCTTTAATTATATCTAGTTACATATGGTATAAAAGAAAAATTGAAAATTTTTAAATCTGTTATTTGTCCATAGCATTTTATTATATTTGGTTGAATGTTTAAAATGCAGAAATTTATTGTAAAATCATTTTACCAACTAAAAATTTTACAGCATTATCTACATTTTTATATTAAAATATAATGTAATTATTTATTTCGATAAAAACAAAAATTGGGTTAGTTTCCAGGGAATTATATTCTTTTAAAATTGACTCGATTTAAATCTAATTGATTCTAGTTGCTAAAAATTCGAAATACCTTCTAAATTTTAATAATTTAGAAAAATTACAATATTCTAAAAAGTAGCCTTTTCAAAAATAGATTTTTGATTTTAAAACTGCTATAATTTTTTTTTTTAACAATCATTTTAAAGAAATTGTGATGATGTAAATTCAAAAATGCAACGAAAAACGTAAATAGGAGAAGTGTTTGAAAGGATCACCCACGTAAA